GATTTAAAACTGAAGAAATTACACTCAATTGATTAGTCGATCAACAGAAAATGTATTGGTTATTATGTCTACAACGATTCATCATTTATTACAACACATCTGATGGTTCGGGTCCTCAAATGTGAGAATAGACTTATTTGTGTTTAAGACATTTGCGTAAATCACCTTCTATGTCATCGAGTCTATGATGTTGTGGTAGTCATTCTTCAGTGTTTCATAATGCTTTTTACATATATATTTTCTCATATTAAAATAGTTTTAATAGATAATGAACGTTTTTAAAAACAGAGCTTACGATAAATCGAGTGATAGAAAAGTAATTGTCAACTTTTAAAAAACTTATTTAGTCGATTTTCAAGCCGATAAAGTGATTCAAGTTAACCCGAAATGAGCCCTTTTTTGGGTCATATATTATTGTAAATGAATAATTGATGGGTATTAGACTTTTGGTCGAGCAAAACTGGACATTTGAAGACATTCAGGTTCTCTATTAAGTTTCTTTCCTTTAGTTACTTTGCAATATTTAGACGTTTCGTAGACTAAGAAATTATCAAAAAGTTGAACAAATCATAAACAGATTATTCAGTAATGAAAATAATCTGTAGTTGCAGGCCTATTGTTAACATACTTTGCCGGACTAGCAGCATAACACTTCCCAAAGTAAAGTGTACATCCCAACACTGTTGCAGCAGCTAACTGAATGCTTTTATTCTGAAAGGACAATGTCCCGGTTTCCGGTTTTTATGTGTCTGCCTGTAAGCAGGCGTGACTGGGATCACTTTGTCTCCCTCTCTTGTGTCTCTGTGGTTATCTGGGCTCTGAGTTGGGGAAAATCTGGTGTAGTGGGATCTGTATGGGCATCGACAGTGTTTTCCTCTTCAAACATGACTGGCTCGCATGCAGCCAGGAGACACCGCAGCCTTGTGAGTAACCAGCAAAAAGATCAAATTAAACTGGGACATATTTCTTGTTTACTTACAGGAAGTTGTTAACCAAAAAAGGGTGTTTTTATTGGGTTTTAACTTAAGATATATCTGTGTCCTTTCCCTGTTGGAAGGCACAGTTTAAAGTATCCCGCAGCCTTTTTCTTTGTGGCGTGTCTGTGGTATTCAACAGTGACCTTATCCTATTTTTATCTCCCCTGCTATCACTGTAGAAGGCCTAAAATATTCCTTTAGTCACTTAAAGTGTGTGTGCTGCTCAGCAAGATAGTTTCAAGTGACCTTATACTGGTTTACGGCATTTAAAATCTTCTGAGGTATCTGTCAAATATATTTTTGGGAGGATTTTAAGTTTGTTTGGACCATATCTAGCTTAAAAGTGCCTTTTGTATTTACTTTCGTGTCTATAAAGATGACTTATTCTAGCTGTCTCATCCTCACAGTTACTTTTGTGAAGTTTTTTTGGATATATTCGCTGTTGAGTTGATGTTTGTTGGGCATCATGTTTGCCCTCTGCTCTGGCTTTATATAAGGTTCAAGGTTTACATAAACTTGTTATTCAGTTCCTCACTTAGATCGTTGGGCTTTTAATTGTCTGCCGGGTGAATGGGGTTGGTTAGGCTGGGGATGGGCAGAGGGCATGTGCTGTTAATGAGGCATCGCTCAGTCGATACTGAGGCCGCACCGAGTTTCTATCACATTCGTATTGGGACACAGAAGGGGTGCTTCTTTTTTTTTAACATGGCATCCAAAAAATAAATCAATCCCTACATTGGTGGTTCTGTCAGAGTTGTGAACACCAGAATTAAAACAACACTCTTTTTTTCCCCGCACGAAAGTTAGTCTTTGGTTAAAGCATGAAGTTTGTTAAGTTTCCTGAGGAGTTTTGAACTTGTTGTCGTTCAATTTACCACAAAAAATATTCCTTTTACACCTTTTTGCAGCCTCAATTACATAAACAGACAGATATTCAGGACCCTTAAAGGTCTTGCGAAATGCTTTATGTTAAACGTGATGTCTTTATTAAGCTTGGTTATATGCTTGAATTTGAACATACTACATAAGAAACATAGTGTGGGGATTTACCTACACAATAACTAAGATCAAAAGTCTTCATTTCCTCATTAAAGCTTCTCACACCAGACCAGCAAAACCCAGAGCTAGTTTAGCATTCAAATAAACATGAATGAAACTTCTCAAAGTGAAATATGAACTGATGTGATGATCACAACATGTTCTAGATATTAAGGAAGATACAAATTGTTTACCCAGTCATGTTCTAGCTCAACTGATAAAGAGGCGAGATGCATCAAGATCTCTGCTGAACAGTTTTCTTCAACTGGAAACACTATTTTGTTTCCTGTTTCTGCACCAGACGGCAGCGACAGTATGGATTGACCCATTTTCATAAGCATTGTTTTTATCTGTTGGTTTATGCTCTAATAGTCCTCTTGTTTGTCTGTAACTATTAACCAGATAATGTTGAATATAGAAAACATTTAAAAACAGTATAATTGTACAGAATGTGATACAAATAGACAACAATGTATGAAAGAAATACACAGTTTGTTTGTTGTGCCTTCTGTTACGGTTGCCAACCTGCGGGACAATAACCTTAGTGAGACATGAGGGAAAATGTCGGAAACAAGTAGAAATCTGTCCTCTGAGATAAAGATGTCTGGTCCTAAACAAAGTCACATTTATCTTATTTAGTCGTCCCGTTTCTGGTGCGTGAACGTGACCTTTATTTAAATGTGGAGCCGGTGACTGGACAAGTCTTTTCAGTGTGTTCTCTGTGGGAAAATGTAAGCAGCTTTCAATTGCCAGAAGCAGCAGAAAATGATTCTAAATTGATCGTCTGTTTCTGTTCATTATGATTTAATTTCGTACAAATGTTGTCAGTGTAACTTGACTTTTTCTTCAGCAGTCTGCACCTCTAATGATTTATTTCTGAGCTGAAATAAATAGTTTTATAGAGAGAAAATGAATCTGAAACAGTTTTGATAAAAGCCACATTGTCGTTTTTTCTTTCAAGAAAATCTGCGTTAAGCCTCTTAAATGTGAGGGTGTTGTACTATTGAACTGTTGTTTTGACAAAACAAGCTAGGACCACTTGTGATGAATGCTTTTCACTATTTTCTTTTCATGGACCAAATTATTAATCAGTTAATCGGATTTTATCGTCAAGCAAAGGCAAGTTTATTTATGTAGCACATTTTCAAATTCCAAGGCAGTCAGAGTGCACATAATTAATACAAAATTGGAAAATTGCTTAATAAATGCAAATTACAAGTTGAGAAAATAAACAGTTTTTAATCTGGATTTAAATATGTTAAATCCACTGAAAGTGTATTCTAATGTAATGTAATGCTGGCTCTAATATCTGGTATATAAAATGGTGAAATTGCCTGTAAAACACTCAGTTTTTCAGCCATCTGTGGCTCGTGGAAGAACATCTCTCCTCTTCTGGGAGCAGGACTATAAATATCAGTTTATTTCCTGCAGAGCCTAAGAGGACGCGTCACACCGGGTCAACATGAGTCACCGAGATGTTTCACAGCGTGTTCGATTCAATAACCAGCACCGTCTCTAAAATAAAGTGTCTCTCTCTCTCCCCCCCCCGCAGCACACGTCTCACAGTAATGGCCGCCAGGAGAACAGCACTCGCTCGGCCCGGAGCGGCGTTCGAACCCGCAGCTCCGAGGAGCCGCAGCAGCCGCACGTCGGCAACTACCGGCTGCTCAAAACCATCGGCAAGGGCAACTTCGCCAAGGTCAAACTGGCCCGACACATCCTCACCGGCAGAGAGGTGAGACAGACACTGGTTATTTTAAAGGTCACCTATGATGAAAATCCACTTTTTCCTGTCTTTTCTACATCAACATGTGTCCCCTCTGTGGAAAGACATTCTGAAAGTGTCAGGAAAACATATTCTCTCTCTTTTTGTCCTGATCCATTTATATAAAAACCTGTAAAAAAAAAATCTAATTCCCCTTGCGCAACATTTCTTTCTGATTTAGATAAACAAATATCACTGAAGAAATATGGTAAAAGTAGTCTTGTCGTATTATTAACATAGTAAATATCTTTCAAGTGTACACAGATTAGAAATGAGACCGTGTAATCTTCCCATTACAATACTTGTTGGGTGAAAGAATACAAATTGTTTAAATAAAAATAAAGCTAATAAGAAAATGGTAAGATTGAAATGTCCTGCTGCTGAATTTTGCTTATCCTTAGCAACACATGTATTTATATTTGATCTAGTGATCATTTAGATATTGTAATAAGTAAACTAGTAGAATAGTTGGAAGTTATTTGCTCCTTATTACATGGCTTAGTTGAATACTCGATTCTGATTGGTCAATTCAGAACATATGACACGTTGTTAATCCAGAACAGACAGACCGCCGGTCTGTCTGTTCTGGATTAACAACGTGTCATATGTTCTGAATTGACCAATCAGAATCGAGTATTCAACTAAGCCATGTAATAAGGAGCAAATAACTTNTATTGTCCTGTTTTATGTTAAAATAAACTATTTTCAGTGGTACCGCTGAGAAAGACTATTGTTTTTGGTCATGGAAAATTAGGTAAAGGTCATGGAGAAGTCATTGAAAATAATTTGTGAAAAAGTGTATGAACCCTGAAATACGTTGAAAAGTCATTCTGTTTAAGGAAAGAGAAATAGGCAAAAATGAAGGGAATATTTCCAATTAAGAAACACACTGTAATTATATATATAAAATATATATTTGCATACATACTACAGGCAACGCTTGTTGAAGATGAATGTTTTTTTGGTACAAGATTTCATAGTTTTCAAGAACATTTCAAACTACGTGCAGCATAAATAAAGGATTTGTTTACTTCAATCATCAATAACTTGGCAAGGACAATCAATAGATTTTAAAATACACTTTTTGTCTTTTCTTTATATTTTTAGTCGTTGTATAGAATCTGAGTATAACTTGTTCATAAAATAATGCAAAATCTTTGTACAAGATGCCAGTAATATATTTTTAAACTGATTTTAGAGTGCTGATAATGCCAGAAAAGATGGGGCACCTTTTCAGGTTGAGCTGTGCAAAGTACAATACGTTGGTGAATAATTAACAGAGGAATCCCTCTCTGTCTCCACAGAGAACTGGGACTACTGAGGCAGAGGAGTCAGTCAACAAATGGATCCAAAACATTATTATCAAGTAAGAATGACTGATGTATTGATAGTGTGCATACAGAGTTTTAATGTTTGGACTTGATCCTCATGCCAGTACACTTTCCTTCTGCTTTACATTTTTACACTTGTGATTTATACGGCTTGTTTCCTTTCAGATCAAATATTTGCATACCTGATTGTGATCGATTTTGAGTCAACTTGCTGGAAAGAGAAAACCAACTACGGCCAGGAAATTAGTGAGTAGCCTTCTATAACACCTTCATGTCATTATTTTCCCTTTATTGCTGATAACCTATATTATATTCTCTCCTCCCGCTATGCAGTTGAGTTCCCTGCTGTCCTGCTCAACACGTCCACAGGGGAGATCGAGTCTGAGTTTCATACTTATGTCCAACCCCAAGAGCGTCCCCTTCTGTCCGAGTTCTGCACTGAGCTGACTGGGATTAAACAGGTTTCTGTGTATAGTCATAAATGCAAAGCCACAAACTCACCAGTGCATTTTTATGGTTCTGTTTTCTTTACTGCATGTAACATCATATCTGACCGGTTTGTTTCCCTGTGTAACAGATGCAAGTGGAGGCAGGGATCCCCCTCCAGATCTGTCTCTCTCGGTTTAACCGCTGGCTGCAGAAGGTGCAGGTGGAGAAGGGTTTGGTCTTTCCAAACGGACAACAGAAATCTTCTGCACCTTCACCTTCTCAGAAACCGTGTGCTTTCGTCACGTGGTCAGGTAAAAGTCACTTGCAACGAATAAACTGGTCTCTACCTTGTGAGGTTATTTCCTGCATTGGAGACACACTAAGCATCAACTAGACTGCCATTTCTATCTTCAAACATTACAACATTACAAAACTTAGACAAGAACACTGAATACGAAATTGTCTGTGTAGCTTAATTGCATTAGTTTTATGAAATAAAGAAATATCAATTTGTTTAAAAACAAAAAGAATGTAACTGTAATTTGTTCCCATCTGTGTTGTATATCAGATTGGGATCTCGGAGTTTGTTTGCAGTACGAGTGCAAACGTAAGCAGCTCCATAAACCTGATGTGCTCAACAGCTGGATAGACCTGAGAGGAACCTACAGGGTGAGTTGAAGCTTAATGGCTTTGTCTTTACACCGGTTTTCTCTTTCATGCTTTCTTATTCTTTTTTTGGTAAATGTACATCTTAAGTTGCCAAATACTACAGGGTTTAACTTGCTTATTTGGTGTGACAACAGTCAAAAACACAAAGGTGTTCAATTACAAATGTCATGTTACCGGTTACGAACTGTAATAAGAAATAAAAAGTTCTTTAGTATCCAAATAAACCACGCTAAAACCTTTTACTAAATACCTATATCAGTTATACGAGACATAATCATTTCAGCCCTGCTCACGTTGCGATTAACACATTTTTTCTGTATTTTCAGATGTTTTATGACAAGAAACCCAAAGGCTTGAACGGGGCGCTACAGGATCTGGGGATACAGTTTGCAGGACGAGAACATTCTGGTAAACAAAAAGCAAAAGTTCCATCATCAAAATAAATCTACTAAGAAAATAGACTTAATCTAATGCTGTTTTTCTTATTCCCTCAGGTTTGGATGACTCTCGAAACACCGCTTGTCTGGCAGTGAGGATGATGAGGGATGGGTGTGTGATGAAGATCACCCGGAGCCTGGAGAAGGTGAGTGGCCGTCGTCCAGCGATGCATCTCAACTCCTAACGCCCCTATTCTGCCTCCGTGATCAAAAACCTGTTATGAATGATGACTTAGTTCAAGTCTACGTGGATGAAGCTTGTTTCACATTGGGGTCTTTTATAGTTTGTGAAGTTTTTTTTTGTTAATAAACTAATTTATAACTGTTGGAATCATAAACATTGATATTCAAGTCCTTTACTTGGTCAGCTTAAAGGTCACCTATTATGCAAAATCCACTTGTCCATGTCTCTTCTACACCAACATGTGTCCCCTCTGTGCAAAGAGATTCTGAAAGTTTCAGGAACAAAGATTCTCTCTCTTTTTGTCCTGATCCATTTCTATAAAAACCTGTCTGAAAATGAGCTGATCAGATTTTGGCCACTTTATGATGTCATAACGATGTTTTGGCTTGTGTAACCATTAGCCAATCAGCAACCAAGGTAACCCCCCTTACTCCGCCTTATCACCTGAATATCCTCCTAGAGCACCATTGTGTTCTTTTTAACCANGGTACCACTGAAAATAGTTTATTTTAACATGGAACAGGACAATAAGGTCTGCATATATATTGTGCCCATCTAAAACAAATAAAATAGTAGGCTTACTAGCTTCTACATACTAAAGCAACTAAAATCTCTTACCATAATTATCATTATGGTATTACTATTTCGGCGATTAGATAAAATATAAATTATATTTGATGCAACTTTAGTTACATTTCCATGACTTTTCCAAAACTGGGGGAAAAATATTGTTTTCCATAACTTTTCCAGGGCCTGCCAGTTTTGGAAAAGTCATGGAAATGTAACTAAAGTTGCATCAAATATAATTTATATTTTATNGACGGAGAATCGGAAAACCTTTATATTAGTAACGATGGACCAACATTTGTCAGATCATTTTGTTAGAGATTTAAGTTATTATTATCCCCTTAATCTATTGCTTCAGATTATCATGCACATTTTCAACTACATAAACCATTTCTATTTTATTGAAATTACCCTGTGGGACAATAGTAGCATAAACATACAAGTAGATAATCCAGGCAAAGACAGACTAGACAGCAGTTGGAGAGATTTGTAGATTGACTCAAACATGTCTGGGTTCATATGTGTGTCTGAGAAGGTTAATGTCATTTATTTTTTATCACAAAAAGCTACATTTTTGGGTGAAAAATACTGGCTAAGCATGGAAGCTAAACACCCAGAGTAACGATATGTTTGAAGTGACTTAGGATGGACATCATCTGTGTAAAGGTATACAGATTTGAAACGTATGTTACCTGTGGCTCTGTGGGGGTGCAGGTTCAGCAGGTGCCAAGTCTTCAGGCTCCTCTATTATCCTATATCCCCACAGCTCCTGTATATGAAGCTCTACTACCTGTGAACATACACAGAAAATATCATAACAACTGTGTATGTGTGTGTGTGTGTGTGTGTGTGCGTGCGTGCTGCGTGTCGTGCGTGTGTGTGTGTGTGTTGAGTTACCTGTCGCGGTCCTTTCTTTATGAAGTACTGAGCCAGCTCCAGGGCTGCCAAAGCATCCTCGATGGGATTATGACCCGTCTTCTCTTCAGTCTGTATCTGCCGACTGGGACACACGTGGAAAAGTAAATCATTAGACGAGAGAAAGAGAGAAAGAGAGAAAGAGAGAGAGAGAACTTACTTCAGCACTGACTCTGTGATGACCTTCAGTTTGAACCTCTGTCCGAACTCTCTCCTGTACAGCAGCGAGGTGTCGATCACATGAGGGTGGATCAGCTGAGGACACGGACACGGACACGGACACGGACACACACACACACACACACACACACACACACACACACACACACACACACACACAATGTTTTAACTTCACACTTTATATAGCAATGTGTTTTTGGTTGTTAAATAAAGCCTCTTCAAAATGAAAATATCTATCTAAAATCAATGATTGACGTCCACAGTAACTCACTTTCAGAGCGACGAGGTCGTTGTTTAGTGAGTGTCCCACCAGGACTGCGTCGCTAGGCAACAGCTTCTTGAGCCTCGTCTGAACATTCCGGAGGGTCGTTGTGATTGGTCGCAACATCGCTGCAGTTATACCAGAGAACCTATCAGAGGGCAGCCAGCAGCGCAGGTAACACAAATGTTTAAAGTGTTTTGAAATGATGTTTGTTATCTAAAAATACACGAGTGTTTCTGTGAGTGTGCGTATGTGTGTATGTGTGTGTGAGTATGTGTGTGTGTGCGTGTGTGTGTGTGTGTGAGAGTGTGTGTGTGTGTGTGTGTACCTTGTGACGTAGTTGAGGATTCTGTTGGGAGGTTTCACCAGCTCATCCAGCACACACTTCCCATCACTGTCCACCATAGAGACACGAGTCAACTCATTACCCTTCTCTGTCAGACACTGAAGCACAACATGAAGACATTAGCTTATAGAAACCTTTATAGAGCTCAGAACACGAACATCTTTCAGTGAGACGTTGCTAAGAAAAAGCTTAATAAATGGAGTGGCCACTAGAGAAGAAGAAGCCACATTTAGACATGGTTTATTTGTGTCATTTAGATGAGGTGGTTTTACAGTTTGAGCTGCAATTGGATTATAAATGCATCAAATGTTAAAAGCTCATTCTGTCATGTGGTACATTTCTTTCAAAAGGACTCCAAGTATAAAACATATTCAAACATATTTCTCTCTATTTAAAAAGATAGACTGGTTTGAAGGATGGTTCCTACCTTAAAGACATATTTATAGTATTTATAGCACATTTTATTTTGACCTCATAGAGTGTTGCCATGCACTTAAATGTGACATTACATGCTGTTGTTGAGTTTGCTTTCCTTTTTCTGTTTTCTGTCTGTGTTTTTTGTACTTTGTAATGTGCAGAGTACCACATGGGAACTATGTTTTGTACTGAAATGTTGCAGGGTGTTTGGGGAAAGAGCAACTCACCATTTCACAGTCGAGTCCATACAGAGGGCTGCTGTCAGTCACACAGTCAACACTGTCTGTGCACACAAAGTCCTGGAAGTCTGGCATTCCTGTGCAAAAGCAATAAGTAATATTTTAGAGACAAAGATACATTTGAAAATGCATTCTGGTGAGGATGAGGTAAAAACAGAGCTTTTATAAAACAATAACATACATTTTCTATATATTCAGATTGACAGTCTCACCTTTGACAGGCCAGCGTTTCTTGACCATCTCGTCCTCGGGGAGAACATACGCTGTCAGTCCTCTCCGCTTGGTCCCAAACTTGGTGATTACTGGGTGAATCTTCAGGCCTGCAGCAGTGTTAAACAACACAAAGACATCATTAAGAACAAGATCAAAAACAGTGAGAAAACTAAAGCACAACTACTGCTGAGAGATATGATAATGTTTGACTAAAAGCCGCAATAGCATAATATGATATTGTGGGATAAGTGTTAGAGTTCACAGAGGATAATGACCCACGAGATGATCATTTCTAGCAACAGTCAAATGAAATGTGGATATCACACAAGTTCAAAAAGTATCCTTTAATATTCAGGAAAGTCTTTGGGCTAAATTATATTTTCTTGACAACCAAACTCAAAGCAATAGCTACTCTAATGTAATACTAATGATACATTGTTCATGTATTGCCTTAGTGTACACACACTTACTTCAAAACATATCCACATAAGATTCTCACCTTTTGGTAAATCACTGCTTCCATTGTGTCTTTGGGAAACAGAGGGATCGTCTGATTCAGGAACTTCACTGCTGAAGATTCCTGAGGCCAGGTTGGTGGAGGATGGAGTAAACGTGACTCTCTAAACCAGGCAGATACAAACGTTTTAACTAGGGATGCACAATGAGGTATTTTCAATTCAATTCGCTATAATAACCTGCTTTTCATGGAAGCAACCGGATAAGTTATCATATTTAAAATGTTGTATTTAAAAAGAGATGCATTATCTGTAGTTTCTGCACACCTGAGCACACTAAAAGCTGAAATGTATACAGCAGAGATGGCTGGTTTACTATTCCACAGCTCTTACTCTTATTTGCATATACATTAGAAAAACAAAATGGTATTTCAAATGGCAGTGGTTTCCTCTGAAACTGTGTAAAATGTCCTCAAACAGGAGACAGGTTTGGCCGTTTAGTCGGCGTATTCAAGCAATAACCTTTGTATTATTGGCCGAAAATTAATGGGCTAAAATACAATAATCAGAATATACATAATAATATTCATTTCCCACTGTCTACACATAATTGAATAGCACCGTTATCCCTAGTTCAAACCAAAAACTAACACTGGGAATGAAGGTTTATCTTAAAATAAGTCAGCACATCTCCGTCCCCTCTGGTTACTCACAGTGCTGTAGTTGGTCCTGAGGTGCTGCAGGGTGAGGTAGTGTTTGTAAAAGTGACTCTGGCTCAGCCCCTCTATCATCACCACATTCACAGCTTTAACCTTCTTCTGATGGTGGAGGCGGCACCAACTGAAAGAGACACACAGGGGGCTTTTAAAAAGATCATTTAGATTATTGTTATAGCACAGGGACAGGGACATTATAGAGACGAATTTGATGCAAGCAGATGAAGTCAAATCTAACTACCACAGTCATTACCTGGGCTGTTCAACGCCAGCTGTTTTCCCCAGAGCGGCGTAATGCAGCAGCTCTGTCAGATCATTCGCTGTTATTGGTTGTTGAAGGCGGTCGGGCAGCACAGAGATCCTCGGTGAGCGAGAGGAGCGTTCAGACTCCAGAGTCTCCTCTCCTTCCTCTGTTTTTAATCTCTTGACCTCCTCATGTGCTGCAGGAGAGATCCTCTTTCTCTTCCTCCCGTTGCATGTCACTTCTGCCGATAAGGGCTCCATATTCAAGCCTGTGTTTTTAAAGGATGGTAAAAAGGGATATTTAAAACTACATTGTGTCATGGCTGTCAAATGCCTAACAGTATAGGTACATGTATACTGTATACATATTACAGTACAAATTACTTCAGCAGTAAAGCAACAAAGTGACTATTGTGCTAAGTGGACTTGCTTACATGTAAGGGTGTTGTTTACTTCATCCCATTATTAAAGGATGTGTATAGTGAAAGTATAATGATGTGTTTACTTTATTTGTCAGGTAAATAAAGCCAGTTTAAGCTTTAACAACATACATTAACTGGTGAATATATTCACCAATGTATTCGGCATTAAAGCAGGCTATCTGAGCTTTCCAATGTATACAAAGACGCTTAAACTAAAGTAGGAATTAAGAGTAACAGTTGCACTAGGAAACCAACACACCTAGCTTAGCTAACACTTTAAAAAATAAATATACACATATACAATTACTATTAAGGAGTAGTTATAGGTTGGGCAAACGTGTGGGAAGGGTATCGATAATTGAAAAATGTAAATACCAGATGTTATTGGTCCTGAAGGTCAGAAATTCATGTTTTTTCACCATTGGTCGAAGCTAAAAACACATGGGCACTCCACGTTAAAACTTGTGATATAAAGTAAAAACAACTAGTACGACTTCCGGTGAGAGACGTTCAAAATAAAAGAATGGTCAACTCTGTAATGTCCTTTAATCAGTAAATGTGGGTAGCATTGCGTAGATTTGAACATATTTAAAAATATAAAACGTCAAAAATTATACTCACACTATTTTAAAGGTTTATAGTTTGTTATGGGCTGGTGTATTTTACACTTTTGTTTTGGTAACCAATGGTAAAACCGGAAATGCTAATCGTTTCGATAAACTCCGCCTTTTTTCTGTGATCGATGTTTTTTTTCTGGAGTTGATTTAAGATACTATCAGACCCTGTTAATCAAACTCGTACTGATGGATGGACATTTGAAAAGAAACAGCGCGACCTTTTCTGCGTGTTTTAAGAATCTTAAACAACGTAAGAAATATCCAACATAATGACTACAAAGAAACTTGCAAAGTAAGTAACTGACTAACCGAGTGCCTTTAACGTTAGCTAAGCAGCTAATGCTAACCTAAACAACACCGAGAAGACAAACAGAGACGTAGCATCTTCTTTGAAGGATATTCTTTATTTACCTCACAGCAGCATTTTGAAAGTCAATCTACACAGAATTACACAATTACTTAAAAATGAAGATAAACCATTACATATTCTCAAAAAGAAAGACCTATAATTGGATGAGTATCTAAACATTATAAAAATATACAGAATAAATAAACAAAGAATACTCACTAATATACTAATCTACTGATCATATAAACATACAAACGACCACTAATATTAGTAGTAGCTGCTAATAACAGTCATCATTAGGTTTAACTAAATACTTTAATACGTAAGACGCATTTATTATATATTAATGTTGTATGGAACAAATTGCACATTACACACTTTACAATAAGAAATACCAGGGTTCTTACGGTCATTAAAAACCTGAAAAAGTCATGGGAATTCAAAATCCTAATTCCAGGCCCTGGAAAAGTTATGGAAAACAATATTTTCCCCAAAGTTTTGGAAAAGTCATGGAAATGTAACTAAAGTTGCATCAAANATTTCAGTCCAACTCTCTCAATAACCTTGGCCAAAACAATAAACAGTTCAACATAAAGTGCCAGTTGCACCAACAACATAATAAATAGTTCAACATAAAGTGTACTGTACCATTTAAAATAAAATAAAAAAGTGCCAGTGATTGACCTCAATCCCTCCTATTCTTCCAATATCCTGATGAAAAATAAAATCTCTGTTGCATAGGCCACTGTTTGATCAACGCGAATTGGGTGTGGGTCCTTGTACTCCGAGTCGGGCTAACGTCCACGCTAGCTTCCACGCTAGCTGCTATATGTTTTGCATTGAGGTGATACTTGAGGCTTGATGTGCTGCGGTGATATGCAAATTCCTTTTTGCATAATTTGCAAACAACCGTGCTCTTATTGACGCTTCCATCCGTCCGTTTTTTAAAACAAAATGTCCCATCCACGGGGCCAACCAAAGCGCTCTCATCAGCTTCTTCCTTCATGTTTGACTATTGTTCACTGTGGTTTGTTGTTGTCTGAAGTAATGAACGTTAGTTGGTGCTCCAGTATAATCGGTACCCCTGAAACTCATCCAGTGAGAAACGTTCTGCGGTGCAAAAATAAGTGCGATTAAAATGCGTTAATTTTTGTGTAATTAATTAATCTTAATTAACGCGTTAAAGTCCCGGCGCTAATAATAACTTAAATCTCTAACAAAATGGTCTGACAAATGTTGGTCCATCGTTACTAATATAAAGGTTTTCCGATTCTCCGTCTTTATTTCTCCTGCAGGTTTCCTGACGTTCTACAAAGACATGGCCGGTCTGTTGCCTTTTTAGGGAAGCGCTCTGACATCGCTCTGGATCTGTCCAATCAGCAGTGGCTCAACTCTGACAAGGAGGTGAGACATTTTCCTGATCACACAAGCAGAAAACCAAGCAGATTTAGGCCCAATCCCAAACCACGCCCTACACACTACCCCTCCGTTTGCGCGGAGGGTCCGCCACATTGAGGGCTGTTCCAAACCAACGAGTGTGGAGCGGTGTGGAGGGGGAGTGGGCTATCAAGCCCTCAAACAGCGAGTCTGCAGCGGTGCTGACTTGAGACCGGTCTCTACCTGACCGGAGTCATGCTGTGTGTGTCCGTCAGGAAACAAGCTGTTTACAAGTAGTTCCAGCAAACATCCACTGATAAACTGCGATGTTAACAACCTCATGATAACCTCATATGTTTTTAACTTAGGATCATACCTGTGTTTAGTCTAGGAAAAGGTACATGTGTGCATTTTATTATAAAGTTGTGTATATTTACAGACCGTTGCAAAAACTAAGAAGCTTATAAAAATCAGGTTTTAAACTAAAATAACTTTTCAAAAAAGTAACACAATTAAAGATGTTTGGAGTTTTATTTTAGTTATTAATTTGAAAATTTTGTCTAAGAGATGCTGATTTGAAACCGTTGTTACATAGAGTTACGGCATTTCCTGCTTCTGCCGGAGAGAGGGGAGTTTGTCCCAAAGCGAGAGTTCACGGAGGAGGAGTGTGTAGGGGGTAGGGTGGAGGGCGTGGTTTGGGATTGGGCCTAAATCTGCTTGGTTTTCTTCCCAAAAGTGAGCATTGATCCTCTGATTGCGTTGTGATCCTTATAAAAGGACTTCTGGTTTACCTACTTGTTGGATTTAAGAATCCCTGTTTGAGAAAAGTAGCGTTGGTTGTTAGGTTACATGCAGAAAAGATGACGATAGATAGATTTATACTTTATTAATCACAATTTGGGAAATTATTTTGTTACAGGAGCAGTGTGTTCAACAATACACATACTTAAAAAGTGGAATAGAGTTAACAATTAGAAATAAAAGGAAAAAATAGTACCGGTATGTCAAATATAAAAAATTCTGGATAACTAAAATGTTCTTTAAAAAATACAGGAATATAGGCTTATACTATACTGTATATACATATGATAGTATATGTACAGTATGAACGATGTGGATTGAGTATTTAGGATTTCTTAATCTCAGAAACACTAGAATGAAGTTTGATCAGATTTGTTTTTAAGGATTTGCTTCTATAATGCCAAATAAAAAATAAAATGTTAGACTCTTCCTATCTCATCTTAAAAATGACAATAGGAAGTTAAGAATCAGATCTGGTTTGAAGAGCAATCTTTTGTGGTTTATCTGCCTTATTTAAAAAAAAGTATATAAAGTCACAAGGAGAGGAACTGAGGATAACACGGCTCTTTTTAAGAGATGACTTTATAGATTACTGAGTATTTTATAGGGGAATAACCATGCCTTGGTTTTCCTTGTCCTCTGTCTTTTCCCATCATAACTCCACTTCCTCTTCATCACTGTGACCTCATCTCGTCTCCTTCAGGTGTCAGCGTCTTTCCGGAGGCAGACCAGGTGTCCGTTCCTCTCCGTGCTACAGCTCCCTTCCCTCTCCAGCCATCTGAAGAAAAGCTTCCCCCACCTGGAGCACCAGAGGGTGAGGCCGTTATTCACAACTCTACACATCTTAAAGGTCACCTATTATACAAAATCCACTTGTTCATGTCTCTTCTACATCAACATGTGTCCCCTCTTCTTCATGTCTCTTCTTCATCAACATGTGTCCCCTCTTCTTCATGTCTCTTCTACATCA